GCAGGAAAGTGATGCCAGGAGCTGCTGTTCTAGAGAATAAGAAGTCTGGATTTATGAGCATGCCTATGAGATACACCTTTGAATGTGTGTCAAGAAAATCTACATGGGGAAAATACATAGCATAGAAAGTAGGTCTTACTGCTGACTGTCACTGTTCAGTGAAAACCAGGTGTGTTGTGGAAATCTCTTTGTGTGATTCTTAATAGAAAAACAACAAAAACAATGAAAAGGACGTCTGTTTGTGTACAAATATACCTGTTTCTTCAGATTTCATAGTGCCAAATTTTCTGGAGTGCCAGAAGAGAAGGAACATCTCCAGAAAATGCTGAGGTTACAACACCCAGATAAAACCTGCCTGTGCTACCTTTATAAAGACACAGTCAGTTCAGTCTTGTGGAGAGCAGATGCACTGGTGAGCTTCAGGTGGTTGCCAAACTTCTCTCACTTTTTTTTATATGATTTGCCAAATCCTTAGCTAGCTGCAGGGTGAATATTCAGACAGGCAGCAGCACTAAAAGCTGAGCAGTGAAAAGTTCTGCTTGGGCAGGAGAGAATTAATGTGATTTTTTTGCAGTGACTGCCCTTAAGTATCTGAAAACACTGGCTTGATCTGGAAGGAAGGGCATCTCTGAAAGGATGCTGCTGTCCCTGGAGTGAGGAGCTGGAATAGTGTCCAGTGAGCCACAAACACAAATCTGATGGGTTTGGTTTTGTTGTTTATTAAAGACAGGCCTTTGTACAGCAGTAATGGAAAATCCTGTTTCTGTACCAATAAAAGCTTTGTTCCCGTGGTTGTTGTTATTGGCAAACTTAGTCACTTTGGTGTTTATGGAAAAGTATTTACTGTGAAGGACTGGATGGTGAACAAGCTTCATCTGCTTTCATTTTGCTTTGATGGCACACATGTTGCTGTGGGACCTTCTTATTCATCCCTGTTTGCCACCCGCAGTCCATCCTACTAGGCTGGTATGTCTCTTCTGCAGCATGGATAGCTGATGCTCCTGCTGTTTGCTGTAGCAAGGTAGAGCATTGCTTAGGTCTGGCTTGGACTCTATTTCTGGCCTGGGGGGCATTGGCTTTGTGTCAGTTCCTACTTTACCACACAGGATGTTGAAACAATGCAGTGTATATTTTGTAGCAGTCAGGTTAGACTTAGTTGACATGTGGGGTATCAGCCAGCTGACAATAACAATCATAAAGAACTTGAGTGCTGCAGAAGGATTAAAAGAAGCTTCTCTAATAAATGCAATTACACAAATATGCTTGAGCCATGTGTCCTATTTAATT